AGCGACATGCATCTCAATATTTCACAGCTTAACAAGAAGGTCCAGAAGCAAGACCCTGAATTGCAGTTCCAGATGATTAGCGCTGCAAAACCAATTGAAGCAGGAGCATCTAAGCTGTCAGAACAGCTTACACATACCCACCTTTTGCAAACTTGCCATTTAAATCGTTTACTGGGGGACGCTTTCTCAAATTTTTCATAAAATACTTAAACTAAACTCAGAAATAGCAGTACATATTGTTAAAAGTTTCTAAGATGGGGCCAACGGTCCTCACATGTACAGTGTTGCATTGAAGTTAATAATAGAAAAATCTCAGCAGGGCTTTTCAAACTTCTTCTAAAGTGGCACCAGAGTCTTGCCATGTCATCATGTAATAAAGTAATAAGGACACGCATTGCGTGGTGAATGGTGAATAGCTCAGCCAGCTCCTTACAGTAATAAAAAGCTAATCTTTTTCTCTTGACTTATATACTAGAAGTCCTTACAGTTTCCTTAAGAAGCCCTTAACACCCCTGCTCCCCCTTTCCCCCAAAAAACACCTTCACACATATGAGTGGCACAGCCTACAGCAAAGTACCATGTCCCAGGGTTTTTTTGTTTTTAAAGTTCCATACTATAACCATAAGAGGTTTGGTGCAGAGTTTCAGAGAAATTTAGCCGATATACAGAGTATGGCCTTCAAGGAAATAGGAGTCTAATGATGGCCTTACTTTAACGAACACTTTGATCTTTAAGCATCCTGCCAACTCTGGTAAGATCAAAACCATGTCACTTTTTCCCTCTGACAAGCCAGAGACTTTAGGAAGAGATCTGACCATCTGTGCTGCAGTGTATGTCTACCTGCGGGAGAACGGGCATGAAACAAGAAGTCTAAAGAATTAAGGATCGGTTTAAGATATTACCATCAAATCTATTGTCAAATAGATGGAAACAGGAAAGAACATTAAGGATTTCCCAATTGCTTTTTTTGAAAAGTAATATTTACATCTAAGAAGCTTGCAACAGCTCAGTGATAGATTAACTCTCACACCTCTCTGGTCAAGTTGGCAAGTTCCAGCAACGGAGTTAATACCAAAATCCTCCAAAACAGTAATAGTGAATTTTCAAGAGGGAGTTAAGTGACATATTTAAGTCATAAAGCAAACTAAGATTTCCCAATTGCTTTTTTTGAAAAGTAATATTTACATCTAAGAAGCTTGCAACAGCTCAGTGATAGATTAACTCTCACACCTCTCTGGTCAAGTTGGCAAGTTCCAGCAACGGAGTTAATACCAAAATCCTCCAAAACAGTAATAGTGAATTTTCAAGAGGGAGTTAAGTGACATATTTAAGTCAAAAAGCAAACTAAATTTTGTTACTATTTCTGTTACCAAACTCTTGACTTTCAGACTTTCCTATTTTTCTAGCCAAAATTTTGTGTTATTGACATGATAGCCAGGACATACGGTTAAAAAAAAGGCAAGATTTTCATGAGCTTAGTATACAGTTCAACTGATTTTAAGACATTTTAAGTTCAGGACTAATGTATGACATCTCATACTGATTTCAGATGTGACATTATTCCCAACATACTGCCTGTTGGACATCATTTTTATTTCACCGGAGCCTGTCACCTCAGGGATGATCTAATCCTCTTGAAATCAGTGGAAGCATGTCCACTTGAAAGAAATGACCATTGTTTTCAAGCATAGTTGAACTGGACCTTATGCTGTGAACTTAACTATTTTGGTGACCTAGACTTTCAAATTAAGACACATGGTTTTTAGAGGGCAGGCATGCGGAACACCAGTGTTTAACCAAGCTAGGGGCTCAGCTGTTAAGGAAAAATACCGCTCGATATTTGGATCTTCTCATGGGGTGACCATATCTCTTGGCAAATACATCTTTACTGCAAAGTGTATTTAAGGAATGAACTGTCACAGTAATGCGTACTGGGTACGTGTCTGAAAGCACCAAGATGTCCTAAAGATCTGTTAATTTTCATTCAACCCAGGCATTCTCATACCTACATTTTCAGTGTCTGACCAGCCTCAGAATGAAGAGAAAAGCAAACCCAAACACAGCAGAAGCAACACTGGCAAGCTAGAAGGCTTTCTTTTGAAGCTGTTTTCCAAGTTCTATGCATTATGTTTGTAATCAGGGGGTGGTGGGTGGATGTAAGACTTCATGCTGCTTGGGACTCAATGAGCTATAGGTTAGACTGACAAGAAACAAAGTGTCTTTACCTTTAATACTCAGAGCCCTACTAGAGAATTCATCGTGACTGGGGCTTTTAGACTGTATTTTTAAAAACGTGTTCAACATCCTCAAATTTTCTCATTCAACATGTATCAAATTAACTATTAATTGAAGGACAGTTTAGTATATTTTCCAGACGTTGCTCAAACTCCATTTACTTTCAGCCACAATTTAAGGTATTGACTTTAATCTCCAATATAAGGCCCTGTAACTCATCATCTGCTTAGCTCAGGGCTATACCTTTCTCCTGCTGTCAGTCTTGTATTTTGGACCAGAACAGGACAGCTTACAGCTTTCTCAGCTGTTAGGCTGATTCTGCAAATGTGCTTTTCCTACAGGCTGGAGCAAGTCTTGACACCGATATCCTTCAAGGAATAACAAGCTATGCATGTCTAACACTGTTCTCAGTGGATGCCTGCCCTGGGAATTATCTACAGGGTTTTTTTTCCTTTTTCCCCTCAATAAAAGTGGCAATATGCATGCTGAGTCATGTAGCAAGGTTGTACTCAATAATTAATACACAATCTACTCACACAGAGATTGGATATTCCACTTTACTTCTGGTTTATTTGATTTTGATTAAACTGTTTTTAAAATTTTATACATTTTCTAATGGAAAATGACAAGCGTCATCACTCTTAACATCTGATAAGATTCAGACAGTGACAATTCAATGTGGTATCTTCCATACCCGTATGTACCTTTAACAATCTGTTTCCAACCACTTGCTGGAATTCTTTATTACTCTTCCAAAATACATCCTTTTTCTGCAACCATTCTCTGCATATTGCTTCAGGATGATATTTTTGCCAGATTATTTTCTGTTACTTGACCAAAAAGGCTTATTCACTGCTATCTACTGTATCACATATGTTTCTTCCTCAGATCAATGTTCAGAATGACCATGTTAATCTTATTTTCTTTACAGACACCGTAATGCCTTACGGCCAGTGCCTTTCTTCAACACACACATAGCATTAATAATCCTGGATATCAAGATGACAATTTAAAAACCTCATTGGCTAATATTAATTTTAACAAGCAAATCCATTTTTGGCTTTCCATCTTGCCTCATTCTTCATTTCCTTTTATCCGTTTAATCCTTCCTATTTTTCACATTCCAGATAGACTTTGCATTCATGGTATCAAGTCTGTACGCATTTTGAAGTGTTTTCTTTTCCATATGCCCATATTACCTTCTGCTTTGCATAGCACTTGTTATGCATGCATGATCACAGACTATTTCTAGCATTAATTAAGATATGAAATTAAAGTGGGAAGTACATTATTGGTCACATAAGACAAACAATACAAATTTGCTTTAAAAATGAAATTACTAAAGTGTTAGCAAACCTCTTCATACTGTCAGAAATAATAATGTTTACAGTCTCCATGCCACAGTACAGCCAGAATTCACAAGTGGATTTGGAATATTATTTCCACTTCAGAAAGATACACATAAAAACCCAGAGAAGTTCATTTAGTTTATAAACATATCTGGGAGAAAACACAGGTTTCTCTCTTCTGCTGTTATACCGTACAGCTTCTGCCCTCAGTGACCCCTGGTCCCACTAACAGGGCTTCCATTGTTTGTGTAAGAACAGCTTTGCTTGAAATCTGATTAGGAACTTTAACAGAAAAATTCTGTTTTCCAAAAAATTAAATGTTTCACAGGAACATAATGTTTTCTGATGAACTTCTGACAAATATAAGCATATTTCCAAAAGCAGTTTGCCAGATTTCCTGCCCAGAAACCCAGACTCCCAAGTTTTGCTATTGTAAGGCAATGAGCCATAGGGATGGTCTCAAATCTAATGGTATCCAAGATCAAGAGGTCTTGGGCATCTCATCATGCCGACTGATCTAGAGCTTAGAGTCTTGCATCTTCTAGAAGCCCAAACCATAAGAGTAGCCTGTCAGTAAAGCTGCCAGTGTCATCAACAATTTACCCAGTCATCTCTTCCTTGTCTCTACAATCAAAAATAGAAACCTGCACATTCACTCAGACTAACATACTCCCTATCTTGCTGCTACATTAAAAATACCTTTACGAAATGCGCTCAGAAAAGGAGTCAAACCATTCTACATGTTTAGAATATTAATTTTTCATACAAACACATTTACTAGATGTTTTACAAGAGTTTACATGTGCATGTTCTTGCTCAACATGCACATTAGTATATTTAGTGTGCGGTCATCTTTCTGACCCTGTGGCTCTGCTGCTTTTCCCTCCCCTTTGCTATAAAATCTACTCATGGAATGCCTCTGTAATGGTAGGTGTTAATACAATTTGCGCAATGTAAAATAATAAGTAATAACAACGAAATGCATGTTCCCTGGGACTCCGTGATAACTCCAGGTAAAAATAATGGTATAGACTGGGAATAGACTCATTAATAAAATTGCACACAGAAGAGTGACTTCTTTACTTACGCACAATGGAAAACAATACATTATAAACCTCTGCATTAAAAAGAAATTATGATCACAACAAACAGCGAGGGATATCATCATGTACCTGCCTTGCACAAAATAAACCATCAGACAAAAGGCTTTGAGGGTGATTTGTCGAGGGCATATACTCTCTTAGGTCCCTGTTATTGCACAAGGAGTTCAATGTGCTCCAAACCAAGCAGGAAAGGTTGACCTCCTTTAGAGATCCAATCCTTTGTTAGCAAGGCTCTTTTGATTAAGGCAGACTTTTGTGAATACTGTCTGCAACCTCAGTACGACAGCATATTATCCAGAATTTGGATACTCACTTGCTACGCTGAGATGAATAAACGGACTTGTCTTGTTCTCCCCATTCTTTTCATTGACAGCCTGGACATAGTAGCCTCCTGCATCGGTCACTGATGTTGCAAGGATGACCAGCTGATTCTCCAGTGTGATGGCTCTATTTAGGAAAGAGAAAGATCGCATTGAAAGCGGAGGAATGGTATCCACTAGGCAAAAACTCTGCAACACTTCAGACTTGACAGACTGATATGGTATTCATTGGTCATCTAAATCAAGATGTTGGGGAATCAAAGCCAGCCTGATTTCAAACACATTCACAAGTAATACTGAAGATCTTTGATGCCTCTAGGCCTTTTCTCTGTTTAGATCACAGAAGATGTTTATGGTGACACACAGAAAGCTACAACATATGAAACTAGAACCGTTTAAATGGCAATAAGAAGTTACACAAGAAACAGCAAATGACAACAGAGACCAGTAGCCTGCAAACTGCATTGTTATGGGTTGACGACAGTTCTGGCAAACATCAGTATGCTGCAAAGTCAGTTTTACTGAAAGCCTTCTCAACAAGTGAAAGCTAGCCTATTAAAGACTGACACTCAGGGAATCACCTAGTTTAGTGAAAAAAAAAAAAAGTAAAAATCAAAGCCAGCAGAACCTCAGAAGGTAAGCTTTCTGTATTTATGGCATCACTAATTATCGCAACATCACAGATAAGAACACCAGCAAGTTAGAGCCTAGTTGATATACACAGATGATCTGTGTGTAGATAGGGAGGGAAGAGTTTTCATCTAATCTAAAGCAAGTAGGAAAGCACAACCCTGTAGTTAGCACTGGTGTAGGCCTGAAGGAGTCCATAAACGTCATTGTATAACACAAGTCTACCCTTGCTTAGGGCTGCTACATAACAAGTGTCTCTATAAACTCCCTCGTAGGCAGCATTACCCATTTGCACTCCAATAGGGTTGGTTACTTTGCATTTTACATGTATTAGATGGTCTTTTCTTGACTATACAAGATAAAGGTTTAATCTAGAGACAACATGTAAAAATTTAAGGGCTTAACTGAATAGGACAGAGGAAGCTCAAAAAACAGATAAGAATAAAAGAACATGTAAAGTTCCAGAGAAAGCCTGCGGAGCAAAGAGCTGACACTAATGCAGACTGGGACAGGCACAAACTTGGAAATCTGAATGCAAGACTTGGAGCAAGAAACTCCTACCTTCACTTATATTACTTGATGCAAAGCCCCATTGAGTTCAGCTGTGCTATTAGTCATATCCTTGAGCATGAGGTTGAAACAACATATAAAATTATTATACTAGATGAAACAAGTTCATACATCAATAGGGCCTCAAAAAGAGCCAGTGCTAAGTCAAATTATTCGTACACTAATCAATCAGTAATGAACACTCCTGCATTTCTTTCTCCTGTTTTGGCACGGTGTGGTTAACATTAATAATTCACAACTATTTTGCTTTCGAAGAACCTTCACTTATATTACTTGATGCAAAGCCCCATTGAGTTCAGCTGTGCTATTAGTCATATCCTTGAGCATGAGGTTGAAACAACATATAATTATATTATACTAGATGAAACAAGTTCATACATCAATAGGGCCAAAAAGAGCCCCAGTGCTAAGTCAAATTATTCGTACACTAATCAATCAGTAATGAACACTCCTGCATTTCTTTCTCCTGTTTTGGCACGGTGTGGTTAACATTAATAATTCACAACTATTTTGCTTTCGAAGAAGCATTTCCCCTATTTAAAGCAATAGGGGAAATCACACATACCTACTGTAGCATACTAGTTTATATGTAGGAGGGGGTGTAGAAAATTACAGTGAGAACATAGCAGTGTTCAAAGGCTGTGTGTATTTTATTCATATCACTTCAATTTTCTAACGTGGATACAAAGAACACTGAACTTCTATAAAGCTATCAGTAGATACCAATAAATAAATCTCCTGAAAAATATATAAGGTTATATTTTCAGCTCTGAAATCAGTCATCAGACATCAGCTAAAGATCCTGTTTACATTACCTTTATTGACAGTTTTTATAATAAAAACTGCTAAAAAAATCACAGTATGATTTTTTGCTTTATTCAATGAACCTGTACTAGCTTAATTGACTTAGAAAATTAATCAAAGAAACTGTGATAGATTTACAGAGCGGGGATATAAAATGCAATTAATAGGACATTTGATAAAGCAAATAAAGATAAAATTCCAATGGAGTGCTAATAATTGAATATTAAAACAGTGACATTTACATTCATTTCTACTTTAGTTCTAAAGAAAGCAGCATTAGAAAGACTGTTCAAAAACACCAAAACGTATTTCAGACTGCTTCGATGCCAGCTGCGACTGTAACCAAAGTTTTAAAGGTGATCCCTGAATACTGGTGAGATGCACACTGCTACTATCTGTATTAAACTGGCTGGAAATTCTGACAATTAGACCATTATACTAATCAAGAGCAAAGGGAATTAAGATGTAATTATTAAGAAAATTGTTCAAAATGAAGATTTTTTAAAAAAAATTATAATACACAAATATTTATTGTGAGCAAAATGTAACATCTGTGAGTGAAATGTAAGTAAATTTTAAAGATTAAATGAACATAAATATATTTGAATCTAAAAAGATCAGTGCAGAAGGGTTAAACATTATAAATTCCATGTTCAGAATAGTGTGAAGAGTTTAATGTTAATTTGTACAGAAAAAAAGAATCAGAAGATGAAGAAACTACTGAAGACAACTCTTTGTTGTCATCAGTTACATAACCAAATTAATTTTAAATTAGAAACCCCAAAATGAATTATAGATATCTTAATAATTCTGTGAAAAATGGAACGTTTCAATTTTATTAACTAAAGACAGGTATAGAACAAGACACAAGGCTTCACAGGCTGCAGACTCTGGGAGTTTTATTTAGATCAAGTATGAGCCCTGTGCATCAGGGAAAAAAAAAAAAAAAATTAGTCACGTTTTAAGGACTCGTTAATTCCAATGTTTCTAAACCATCTGAAGATTCATGCCCCAGCCCGTACCAGGCTTGCAGCCGCTTTTTGCACAACAGCTGCACAGAGCACCCTAAAATTGGCTTAACATGTTTTCCTGGGTTTATTGTTTGTTTTCATTGTCTGATATAACTTTTAAATTATGACAGCACCACACTTATGTTCCAAGGAAAATCTGATTCCCGGCTGCTCAGTTTACCAGCATATTTGAGGAAGACAACTGCAGCAGATGGAGTGGACCCATCAGTAATTCATACCCAGCACAGAATTAATGAAAAATATAAATATTGGTTTTTTAAAGCAATATTGAACTTAACTCAATCTAACATTTTCAAGGCAGGAGCAACCAGGAAGTAAACTAAGCAGACTGATCCTTTGGGATTTCTTAAGCATAGGGAAAGGAGCATTTTAAATCATATGTTTTAATAGAAGAATTTTTAAAATTTCTCTGGAGCTCAGTGGAAGCCTGTAGGGAACAGCAGCCAATAAACAAACAGCAACGTAGATCTCTGCGAGTGGTAGGCAGTTATAATGGTGGATTCAGTATTATGAGGGCTTGCAGCCGCTTTTTGCACAACAGCTGCACAGAGCACCCTAAAATTGGCTTAACATGTTTCCTGGGTTTATTGTTTGTTTTCATTGTCTGATATAACTTTTAAATTATGACAGCACCAACTTATGTTCCAAGGAAAATCTGATTCCCGGCTGCTCAGTTTACCAGCATATTTGAGGAAGACAACTGCAGCAGATGGAGTGGACCCATCAGTAATTCATACCCAGCACAGAATTAATGAAAAATATAAATATTGGTTTTTTAAAGCAATATTGAACTTAACTCAATCTAACATTTTCAAGGCAGGAGCAACCAGGAAGTAAACTAAGCAGACTGATCCTTTGGGATTTCTTAAGCATAGGGAAAGGAGCATTTTAAATCATATGTTTTAATAGAAGAATTTTTAAAATTTCTCTGGAGCTCAGTGGAAGCCTGTAGGGAACAGCAGCCAATAAACAAACAGCAACGTAGATCTCTGCGAGTGGTAGGCAGTTATAATGGTGGATTCAGTATTATGATGCCCTACAAGCATTTCAGCGATACCTTTACCACAGAAGCAGCCAGAGACTAGAACAGATTGATCTGAAAGCAAAGGTGAGTCGGGCCATTGAAACTACAAGCTGTGTATGACGTGCTGCCTAACCAAGACTATGGTCTGACAGGATGGGAAAAGGCAGCAATGATGGAGACAAGTCATTTTATACACCCAGTTCTTCTAAGTATCTGAACATGTAAACAGGCACCTAATGAGGTTTTCATCACTTCCATTTATCACAGCCAGAATTTAGCACTTAGATACACTCTGGGACTTTTAATTGCAGCCTTCCTAATTGTCCAAATTCTTAAAAAATAAATCTGGTGCAAAAAATCTCTAAGTTTGATCTAAAGCTTATGGTAATTATTCTGTTAACATCAGTGGAACGTGAATCAGGCCATTAGAAGTAAAGAGAATTTTCCAAAGGGGATACCATTATTAAGGCATTTAAGACAAAGTTTTTGGAGTTAAATAAATTTTTCCTGCACTGAAAATTGCATCATTTCTTAAAATGCCACAAATGAATTCATCAGTATCTTAAATAGCTCGATTTCCATTAATAATGTTTTTTATGTGAAAATACCAAAATTGACTCTACAAGTGGATAACGCCCAAAAGTTAGATATTTATTAGGTTATTAGTCTACCAGATTACACAATAAATAGATAATACTAGGTTATAAAAACATCATAAAATGAAAATCAAGGTAACCTGATTAAGCTTTCTCTTAGAAGGCTGCCATCTGCTCATGAACAAGCATGCAATGTTTTAGTACCTAGGCCTTCATAAAGCCTCTTTTCCAATATTAACTCTAGCTAATACGAATATCAGTCCCTCTTTGTAAGATATTTTTTAATAGAAAACCTCTGTTCCCCTTTTAAAAACTTTTGTCCAAATTACACAGCAAGCACCGATCTTTCTCCATGAGCCAGCCACCACACAGTAACAGGGATGTTAATAGAAAAGAGAGACATTATGGAGTAATAACAACATAGTTACTGAAAGACTTCCCCCCCGTAGATTTCCCCTTTTGGAAAAAACAT